AAGTATCAAATAAAAATGAAAAGAAACCATAGAAAAGTCAGAGATGATCTCAAGTGTTTTTACAAAAAATTTGGTAATTTTTTAAAACAGAAAAGTGTTTTTAAATTATTTAAAATCACTCAAGTGAAAAATGATTAAAAATATTAAAAATCAGAATAAAATTCTAGAAAAATTCCAGAAAGTCAGAAATAAAGAAAATAATTTTTATGAATTTTTTCATAATTTAAAATTTTAAAAAAGTATTTTTAAACCATTAAAAGACAAGTCAAAACAGAAGAAAAATCATAAAAATATCAAATCTGAAAATAAAATTGTGAAAAAATAAAAATCAGAAAGAGATTATTTGAAAATATTTTTGTGAATTTTTTCATGATTTTTGAGTCAGAAACGAATTTTCTATGATTTTTTGAAGTTCAAAACAATTAAATATAAAAAAATTTGAAAATAAAAATAAAGTCAAAAAATGTGGACCACAAATTAATGCCAAAATATGTTAGTAAGTAGATCCAAGGGATCTGACACGTTGTACATAATATGGTCATCTTTGGAAATCACACTAAATTATTTTTTAATAATTAAAAGTAACTAAAAATGTGACACGTTGGATGGAGTCTGACTAATAAAAGTAATCAGATTCAAGGGCTCTCAAAATGTGCATATGGTAAGGCAAGTACACGGGATAGAATTCAAAAAAATTATATGCCACGCTATCATTGTTTGAAGCACGACATGAATGTCATCTTCAACCTCCAGACACTCTAGATTGGAGTTCCACAAACTGTAAAATTAGCAAATCATACCAATACCATTAGATTCGTCTCTTCAACATGATTCTAATGGTACCCTCGCGCCATATTTATATAAGCTGAGCAAGGCTCTATTTGAAAAAATCAGAAAAAATAGCGAGCACGAAATTTCCAAGCATCGCTCTTAATTCTTAATGAAATTGAAAATCGTAAAAAGTATGAGAATCAGAAGGATGAGTAGAGTAGAATAAGGATTTATTTGGTTCACTTTGGTTGAGAATTCTACCTGAAGGAAGTAGCAAAAAATTACCCTGAAATTGGACTTATGTAACTCAATTCTATGCACAATTCTTCTTGCTAAAGATCTGGTTAGCTTCAATGAATGTCAAGGAAGCTAACTGAATGGAAGTTTTTGTGAATTAAGGTGAGGAAATGAAAAAAATAAAAATCAAGCTCAAGAGTTCGTGTGGGATCTTGGCAGAGTGGTTTTGGCTATCCAAGCTTGAGGAAATGAGTGCAATATGTGCCTTTATTTGTAAGAAAGTGAATGGTGAAAAGAATTGGAAGAAATAGTGAGGCTTGGGGGGAAATTGGATGGAGCCCGAAAGTGGAAAAACGTGACTCTAATTCACCTAAAACTCGTCCAATTCATGCGTTTTGATGCTTAAACAAGTTTGAGCAAGTTTTTTAATCATGTTTAGATCAAAAATGCGTGCAAAACTGGTGATTAGAAGGCAAATTATGGATTTCAAATTCTAACTTTGGAGAAAAAATCAGTTTCAAGTAGCTGAATTTGAACTCATGGTGTGTGCAATTTAGGAAGCCTTATAAGTTGATTCTTGATGCATTGGAAAGATCATGTGATAATCTTCACAATGTGCCAATAAATACTTCATTTGGATGCTTGAGATGAAAGTTATGCTTAGTCAAAATCAAGAAAAATGCGCTGACTTTTGTACTTAGAAAAATTCTAAGTTTCTTCTTCAAAAATGACCTATAATGTTTTGATTCCAAACAAGGTCTTCCTTCAAAATTGAGCTTTGATCATTGATTCTAGCTTGAAGTAGACTTCCTAAAGAGTATTGTGAAACCTATATCACTAAAAAATTCCAAATATTGAACAAGTTATGATCTTGTGAAAATGGTGGAAATCCATGAGATGACCTATAATGTTTTGAGCTCAAAAAGTATCTTTCAATCATTTACAAGCTTAGCACCAAAAATAAAGTTAAAGTTAACATCCTTAAGATCATTGTGAAATAATAATGAGCTCAAGATGATAAAAACTGACCAAGTTATGATCCTTTGAAGTCACATAAAAGGATATGATGGCCTATCTAGAAGATTTGTAATATTTCTCAATCATTAGTGATCTTCCATATAAAATTTTCTTAAAACTCTTTAAGTGATTTGTTAATAACCCTTTAAAGAGAAACATATTATTGGAATCACTCAAAAATCTCAAAAGATGAACAAGATATAGCCCTTAGAAGTTCAAAACCCTAGCCCCTAAAGCATTAAAATGACTTGTAAACCCTTTCAACATTTGACAATCTTTCTTGCACAATTGCTTTTTCCATATGAAGAAAAGTTGTGGTAAATGATAATATGAACCCATGGAAAGAAAAATCACTTCCAAATATTGAGAATTTAGAGAGTTATGCACTTGTAATCAAGGAATCAAGAACTTGTCCAATTAGGTCAAACTTCTTGAATCAATCTTGCATCTTTTGACTTCATTTGGCAAATTGAAGCATGATGAATCATAGTAGGCCATGGCATTGTCTTAAAGCACCCTCAAAGGTGAAGTTTAAATCTCAATGAAGCTTGTTGAGTAAGGCATGGAAATAAACTAATGAACCTATGAATCATCTTGATGAAATATGTTGTGCCATCACCTATAAAGCCAACATCCATAGAGCAAACATACACACATTATATTTGTTGGCTAAAAGTTAATCAACACAAGATATACATGTACAAAACATACAAATCAAAGTGCTTGGTGATCTCACATGAGCAAACCTAAAGATAGGAAGAATAACCAAGTCCTAGTGTGTGATCTTGATGTGATTGGTTTGATATTGAAATGATGAGAGATCTTAGGGGCAAAAATTGGGGTATAACAAGTTGAAACTAAAATATCTCTCCAACAGGTTTGAGGAGGAAATATTGAGGCATACAAAAATTCATGGCCACACCCTATAGTCTGGGCATTTGTTATAGTGTATAAGTACTAGTGTGAGTATTAGGACAAAGAACCATCTTTTGATCTCTTTGTTAATTTATTTTCTATGTCACACACCTTGAAGGATATAGGCAGTTTAAAGAATTTTAAGGATCGACTACTTTTGGTAACTCCTCAGACTCTAGAGCCCCATTCAGTATTCTATGGGGTCTCTGAGGGAGAATCAACCCCATATGGCCTTTCTAAATTGACACTGTTTGAAAATACAATGTCTAAAGCCATTGTAGTCGGGAATTGCACAACTATGTCATGCCTTCCAAAAATCTAACCCTAAAAGAAGCGTCAATGAAGAAATATTTGATAACCTTATTTCTTGGAACAATTGAGTTTTGAAGAACTCAAATGCCCTTAGGATGTGAGGCCCTCTATGCAGGAGAGGCAACTTATCAACATCTGAGCGATAGTTGATGCGACTAATGTTCGAGAAAGAAAATAACTTTTTGGTGAGGAGAGAAAATTTATTTTCACACTTGCATTGGTATTCCTTTGACATTTGCTAATTATTCTTTACTCTTTTGTGCATCATATATTATGGCATCTATGCAAAATCTTTTCTTAAGGTAGAAGGCTAGTATGCTGGTTGTCACGCATCATGCTCCTCTTTCTACTCCAGTTTCTACTAGAGTGGAGGTGATGGCAACTCATCCTTATGCTAACATTGAGATCTTGCATACTACTTAGGACCAGTCAGTTCCCCTTAAGCGGGATGAAAGGCATAACGGAAGGTCCAATGATCCCAAGTAGTTGGTTTTGTATGTGTGGTCAAAGATCAAAATCATATGAAACATATTTAAAAACTTCAGAGTCAGATGTGTCAAGAATATATCAGCAATAACATATGATTCTCTCCTATTTCTGGTTCAATGCATCTACTTCTCATCGTGAATTAGGATCAACAAATATTGCATTTCTATGAATGAGCCTCAAATATAGAGTAATATGTCAATCTTGCTTTATACACCTGCTGCACAGTTGTTAGATTACAAACATCCAAATCTTTCAATGCAATTATTATGAACCTTAACTCCGTCATTCACAAACTACCTTTCTTCGAGTTTTAGATGACCTAGAATGCCATGAACGTCTAAATCCTCATATAGATCATGGATGTGAATGCCACATCTAGCCATTATGTTTCAACCTCAACTACTTGGTACATATCTCTACTTAAATGAACATTTAACTATTATACTACAAGTGACTTTCAACTTTTTCTGGTTATTGTAATTTCCTCCATCTCACAACCAAGAATTAGTTTGTCGGTCCCGCCTCTCTGTCCATTTGTTATATCAGAATGAATAATAACAACAGTAATATTATGTTATCTCCCAATAGACTATGCCCGTGATAACACTTCGGGTCGGAAGATAAATCATTATCAATTAAAATTTAAAAGAAATCACTCATAGATTTAATAATTCGAATAAATTTTTTAAAAATTTAAATAAAATTTATAAATAAAACATATCAAATCATTGGTGAAAAACTATATAACATCTAATGGAGAATCATCTTCTAAGATGAATTCATGATGGACATATAAAAAAAAAGATATAGAACTATTAAATTTTTAGGGGCGAGGAAAAAATGATGTATGCACCAAAATGATAGACAATTTTTCCATAAAATTAAATTATCTAGTCTTCAATGAATATTCGATTTAAAGTCATAATCTACCGTATAAGAACTTAAATAGTTAAAAAAAAAAGACCCCTATAGCCTTGGCCTTTTGAGGTCCACGACAACTACTTTGGTTGATTACATGTCTTTTGCTTGCCCTTTTTAAACTAGCCATCATGTATTTAGGATATAAACACGCTGGTTGCCATAAAATGTGTTGATATACTCCTATTTTAGCTACTGGGATTTGGCAACATTGACCGTGTCAATTTCTTTTGATAATTTACTCTCATCAAACTTCTATACTTTGGTACTGTCACTACTTCTCCATCTTCGAGGATTGACCTATTTGCAGCTCCAGCCAACCGTTGAAGCTACATCTGAAAATGGCGAGACCTTTTGACAACATATGCGACATCAATGAACAGAAAGATTTGTGGAAGCTTGCCGTACGGATTCAACACATGTGGACAGTACTAACAACTACCAAGGAGCACTTTGAGTTGGTGATAGTAGACAAACATATGAGTTTCAATCTTCCAACCCTAAAATTTGTGTAATTTATTGTGTTGGATTTAAGGGTTGTTGGTGAATGTTGTTTAGTATTACTGTAATAGACAGAAGGAAAATCTTTTCCTTTTCTCCTTTATGGGTTGTTGGTCTCTTCGTTATTTGCTTCCATTGTTTTTGCATTCTTTTGTTTTTACTTTGTTCATATTGTGTTCCATTTGATGTTTAGATTGTAAGATATTGTCTTGCAAGGATGGACACCAAACTGAGGTAGAGATATGGAGGTTAATGTTACAAGTTTATTTCAACAACTATAACCTTTTTTTTATATAATTGTTGACCCCTTCTTTTGTGTTATGTACTTTAGATTTAAGATTGTCTGGGACCGAGAAGCCGCGAAACTTTTGAAAACTTCTGCTGCACAGCTACATTCCATTATGATAGAGGTAAATAGTCTTTTATCTCAAAGATTTGATGATTTTAGATGTGTTTTATTATGGGCATGTTTCTGCAGATTTAGGGTTGCTCTCGTCGCATTTGATAACTCAAACAACAGGTAATAGTTATTTTGAAGTGACTTTGTAAGTTTTAATTTTGAGCTATAAGTGCTCTCATCGTATTTGATAACTCAAACAACAGATAATAATTATAAGATATGTAAATAGAACTCACTATTATTTAAATCTGTGATTCATATTCTGTCTTTTGGTAACAAACTGGTTGTAAATAGAACTTACTATTTTAAAATTGATATGTTGCTTGAGCTACAATTGCACGAACTGGTTGGAAATTCCCATGTATGTGTAGAGGATTACAAGTTGACGGCGAACATAGCTGTGCGGATACGGTCGAATGTAGTGATGAGCTTAGGTGTAAACAATTAACCTCGGAGATGCACTTGCGTGCAGATGATTGTTTCCTGTCGAACTGGCTAGACTTTAAGATATTTGAACGGTGATGAGGTAATTTTCATGTATTTGCTTGTTGTCTTCTCAGTTGAAGCCGATGGAGTTAGTAATTTGGAGCTCTCCCTTTGTGGTAAAGGGGATATCAAGACCTGATATCAATACTTTTCATTATTTTTTCGGTTATTGAAATTAATGTAGCATCATTTATTATTGATCCTTGGCAAATGTTGTGTTAATAGATACGTGAGATAGAATGTTCATTGTCTTGAGAAATGATTTCACTTCTATGGCATATGTAGTGCTTAAGAGAGGTTTGAATAACTGTCAAAACTTGGAATGTAGAAAGTGTGCAATATAATGAATAACTGTCAAGCTTGGTATGTAGAGAGGTGTATAAAGTTTGAAATATGAAGGAAGTCTGTTAGGTCGATGGTGTATAAAGTGTAAAATATGAAGGAATTCTGTTTGGTGGATATTGGACACTATTCTCGTATGTATTCAATATCCATTGGTTAATGGTCTTAATTGCCATCTTCTCTGTGCATCGGCCTTACTTTATTTGATTCATTACATTTTTTACTTCTGGGTTTAAGAAAATGATTTGACTGAAAAGGTTCAAATTTCTTAGCTATGGTTTCATATTCAGGTTTACCTTGAAAAATGACAAAGTGAGGCAAGCATTGTACTAATTCCACCATGGAAAGGTGCGTTAGTATATCAGATATGGTTCATGGTCAATAAAATATACTGTATGAATTGAAGATTGAAGATTGAAACTACCATATGTTCAGGTTTTATCATATTGTCATTCAAATTTGTATCATAGATCTTAGGTTAAATTGTTTTGGGCATGTACACTTTCTGTTCCTTATATTTAAGATGAAATGCATTTAAAATGGCACGTTGCATAATGCCTGACATAACTTTTTGGTACAGTTTTCTGAGTTTATGCCCTGCCATTTACTTATGTTCATTTGTTTCAGACACTTCTACTATTGACTTGTGTAAGCTCCTCAAGGATAACTTGCAAATGGATGAAGTGAAGATGAGAATTCTCTTCGATAAGGAAACATGTATGTCGCACATCTGGTTAATGGTTTTCAGGTAAACTTGTATGTCGCACATCTGGTTATATTCTTATTTCTTATAAATGAGGAAGTTATTCTTTAGAATTGTATGCGACTTATTCCTGGGGTTGAAATAGAGCACTTTTTGTCCAGGGATTCCATCTACATTGAGAATGTTGTTATCTCTCTCATTGAGTCTGTAAAGTTACAAAAAAGGCACATTTTGAAGGACGCTTGAAGATTGACTGATACACATGACTTGAACAGTACTGAGGCATGATATGAGCATTTGCACGAATTTGTTTGAAACATAAATCTTAAGAAAATTGCATTGATTTTGATGAAATTCTGTACTTTGACCTTTGTAGTCTTTCTTAAATTTTCAGTGTCAAATATCATTGTTTTTAAGTATCAAGTATACATATTTTGTCGTCCGTGTTTCATAAACAATGAGCTTTCACATGAAGGGGGTATTGAGTTTTACATGTGAATTTCAGGTCCATGTTTAAGTGCGTATACCATTAAGTCAATAAGTTCTTTGGACAAAAGGCATACATATTTACGAGACCTCATTGTTTCATTATTTTTGTGCATGTGCTATTGCATTTCCTAAGTGCTGTCATTGTTTCTAATGTTTGGACAGATGATGAAATTACAGCCGAATTTGTAGGTTATAAAGGAGAAAGAATTGGTAATGGTGTGAAAACCATTGAAACCATCTCAACAAAGGTTTATCCTACAATCAAAGGGTACGGCAAACTTCGCCTTTCCTATGTGTTTGGTCTGTTGTCATAGTGCTATTTGCAGCTGAAAAATACCAATGATTTAGCACCAATAGCACAACCTAATCACAAAAATGGAAGGTTAAGGTTTGCTCATTATTTTCAACTGAGAGAGAGCAGTCAGTAAGGTGTTCTATTTGTTTTTTTCTCAGTTCTTGTAACTGTATAAATTTGGGGATCCGTTGTGTATCACATCATGAAGCATGGGACTATTGGTTAGCAGAAAGAGATAATTTTGGTTTTGCAGTGAGATTGGCAAAGTTAAAAGCAGACAAAGTGTTTTACGTCACCATGTGATACCTCAGTGATATATCCAATAACATGAGGAAATATCATGAATTCACTAATATATCTCCATGTGCTGTTCTTTATGTCATTGGTCCACCTTATTCAAAAGAATATGGTCGATACTGTTCATATTACAAATATTTCCCTCGCATATTTTTTTCAATTTGCTATTTTTCGATTTGGTATCGGTGTATGTATCTATTGTTTTCAGTTAGATTTTTATCTTTTATGGCTGGTGGAATTCTTGTTTCTGTTTCTGTTTGCACCTCTAGTGCTTTATTTGAATAAAATTGGTTGTTCCAAAAAAAAGTATGTGTTGGTTTTTATTCTTATATTTTCTATTTTTATTCTTAATTACACAATTGTTTCCTTTTTTGCCATGCTTCTCTTTCCACAGTTGTATAAGAAACCGTGTATTTTTATTAGTTCATGTACAAACCTTTAAAAAAAAGGAGGAATCAAATATATGTAGTTCTCGATTGTCGCCATTGTAGAGTCTAAGGAATGATTTCTATATAGTATTTAGCCTTATTTGCATAAGAATTGAAAAAGTTTCATTCATTATTCAACTTGAACTTGTGATCTTTTAGCAGAAGGTCACACAACTGGAACTAGCCAGTGATATGGTTGCATGGTGTAACTAAGTAGCAGGCAACTCATGTCTTTTCATATTTATATGAAAAGTTTAAGTATTTAAATTTTCTGTAGTAGTGTCCTAATTCAAGATTTTTTCTTTAGAAATTGTTCCATTTCCACTCGTGATTTTGTGAAATGTCAGAATATGGATGAAACAGTATTAAAAAATTGGATAAAAATAACTTTAATAAAAAATAATAATTTAAAAAGAAACTATAATTAAATAAATAATTTAAATAGTAAATAAATATGTAAAATAAAAATAAATAAATAATTGTGACATTACCGTATTACACCAGTACCCGTATGGACGCACGGAGAACACATGAGTAACGTGTAGCCGTACGGGTAATCACTATTGAAAAATATATTTCATGATGATCTATTTTGCACAATTATTTTTTCTAAATGAGTTTTTAATATTTTTTGTTAACAATGATTAATTTAATTAACTCATATATTTATCTTTGACAATTTTTTTTATTTTACTTTTTTTACAAATAAATTTATATATTTTCTATTTTATTTGAATTCTATAATTAAACAGGTGATAATTTCACAGTCCATACTAGTATTCATGCGGACGTACGGGTAAACACTAATATTGCGTGAACACTAACTAGTATTTCATTTTTATCTATTTTAGACAATTATTTTTTTTTTAAATTATTGTTTAAATTTTTTCTTAACAATCATTTGATTTAATTAATTTAGATATTTATCTTTGACTACTTTTTTTATTTTTCTATTTTTAAAATTAAATTTAATTATTTTTTATTTTTTTAATTTCAAAATCAAACTAGCGGCAATTCTACGGTCCACACCAGTACTGTGTGAACTCACGGGTAACCAGTATTGAGAAATACATTTCATGCACGAGTAGTCAGATTAAAATCCATGTGAACGTACGAGTAATACATCAATACCGTGTGAACGCACGGGTAACCAGACCAAAATCCATGTCAACGTATTAATTATTATATTTTTTGTATAATTATAAAAATAAAAGTAAATATATTCAAAATAATGTATGAATTCAAACACGATTGAAATATATTATTTTTTAATTATTTATATATCTAATATTTTATTTTAAACTTATTTTTAATTTAAAATAAAATAATTTTTAAGATAATATTTAAACAATTGAAATATATGTCTTTCTTTTAAAAATTAAAAAATTGGTACAATTTTAATTGTATTTTAAAAATAAATATTTATTTATAAATAATAAACTAATTTGTTAAAACTATTTTATTTATTTAATTTATGATATTTTTATATTTTGAAAATAATAGCGTATATATTACACAAGTACTCATACAGATCCATAAATATATTACTAATTTATAGAAAAAAAGAGTGAACTTTAGTAACAAGAAATTGACTGGTTGATTTTATAAAGAAAATGGAATTGGTAAAATTGTCTATTTTCACTATCCATACACTCTGGCTAAACGTAAGCCTTTATTTAATAATACTCATACACATGACTTTATTGTATCTTTGAATTTTTTTTTCAACTAGCTTTGTTCCCAGTGATCAAAATTGCGCCTCTAAGATCATCTCAATCTTAAGATTGGAATTTATTTGTTTATTACTTATAACATTGAAGGAGACAACTACGAAATTGCATCCAATCAATTATTTGCCATATATGCGACTTTGTACTCTCCATGACGACTTATAGTGGATCCCAGTGTCTTGGAAAGTACGATTTAGACTTTTTCTACTGCTCTTACTTTTAAGTTTTAAATATTCATTCGTTTTAAAATGAGTATTATTTTAAAAATAAATGTTATTCTCAATTTTTAATATAGTAATAATTATTTTTTTAATTGTATTTTATAATTATTATTCTTTTCACTATTTCTAATAAATTAATAAAGCTAATTAATAATAGTGTAATGCATCATAATAATATAATTGTATTCTTTAATTTATGTGTAAAAATCTTAAACGACACTCATTTTAAAATAGAGAGAGTATCATTGTGCACAATTAAAAATTTTATTTAAAAAATAAATTTTACAAGTAATTACTCTAAGAACAACTAAGAACTAAGATAAAAATATTACTTGAATTAGATTGTAAGTTCTTAGAGACTGGAAGTTATCCTTTTATGAACTAGTGTTTTTGAAGAAATGAGCTATTTATTTCATAGACTAATCTCCTTATTTATAATAAACGATTTTGTCAACATAACTAACACATGAATTTGATTATATAAAAACTGTTAACTGGCTAAAAAAAACTTCTAAAGCAAGTTCTTGGAAGGTTAATGCATTCCTTTGACCCTTAAAACTAATTTGTTTTTCTTCAAAGTTGCTTAATTTTCTTTTTAACTTATTTTCATATCTTGCTCAAAGAAGGCTTTTGAATCATAGAGTTTTGAGCATAACAAAAGCCCTCTAAAATGTTACATGAGGATTCTTGGCCGCCAAAACACCTAATAAAACCGGTCTAATACGAATGATTCAATCCAAAATAGTTTCATTCAAAATTGATGAACATGTGGACTTTCACCACAAGGTCAGCACCAGAGTCAAGCCACTAACTCATTTTTAATCTTTAGATCTAATTCAACAATCTCATGTAGTCCACGTTGCGCCTACCGTGACAACTTTCAACTGGCGACCATATATATGCTTATTTATGCACCATAATAAATATAATTCCATTTATTTTTATAAATTACACCTTTCTAACCTTGTTAACTTAAGAGTTAAAATGCTAAGCTTGTAAAAACACTCCATTTCTCTACCACAGATTATTCATGTTCCAAGCCTAAATAGTGGCACCTTCTGGGGAAAGACATATCCACATACTCGAGGTTTGCACCATACCTCTTAGCCTCAATGGAGGAAAATTACTCTGGAATGGCCAAAAAGTAGCACATACTTAAGAATTATGGTTAAGAGTAATGCATGTATAACACTCGTACTCTTCAATCCAACAAGGCCATTTTTTCTAAAGTATTGTCTTTTAATATGAAGGACTTGAAAGATAAGAATAATTTCACTTCATGGAGTTTATCTTATTAGGTCAGTGGGCTACTCATATTCTTTCTCTGACTAGCTGTTAGCCTAGAAATTCCAACTAAAAGAAAGTCAAAGCAAGTTACGTTGAAGAAATACTAAGTGTTAGACATCATTTAATGACAAGTTTTGACAAGAGCAGTCACGCTGATGATAAATTATTTGAAAAAACCTCAAGAACAGACCCACAAGATTAGAATCACTCTCTCTTTAAAACATGTCCAAAATCTCGAAAAGGGTTCGACAAAATGGTTGATTTCTAAGGAGTCACCAGTTGTCTAAAACTTAGTATATTTTCTAAGTCTAAGGATCACTCAAAAGAAGAGATGCTTCGGTGAATGCTGAATCAGATATTCTTGAGAGACGGTTAGTTTCTTGGAGCAGTTACAAACATGGGATAATGGGCTTTTCAGCAATTATAAAGTCCGATAGCGTGGAAGCTAGAAGATTAAACTTCATGTTCTTGATACGTGTCTTTCTTCTAGGAGTAAAACTGCCAGAGACAATTATCTTTAGACTAGTATAAAAGCATACTCATACATTATAATCATGGTCGCAAAATCCACATACTTCTCTACAGAACTAGAGGACCCGAGTCAAAGAGCGAAACATTTTGTGAGGAACATGTGTGACTTTATGTCCATTTTTTTCATTGTCTTTATATTTTCTTAATTGAAACACTTCATTTAATGTCATTTATTGGACTATTTGCTTATTACTTTAATGCAAACCTTTTTGTTATTAAAGTTTGTGTTTACTTTGTCTTCATACAAACATTTAGTACATTCAATTCACACAGACTTTTTCTTGTACGTCTGTTTTGCATAGATTTCTTTTGAGATTTTTCGAATTAATCTCACAAGCAAATTATACTCGTGATTGTTCGCTAAAAACACCTGCAAATAAATTAGCACGCCTAGTAGGACCTTTTGTGCAAATTTTTAAAATTTTGACAGGAAAGTGTTTTTTTTTGTTGTTATTTTTTACATGAAAACACTTTCAATGTCTAGATTTTTATGAATTTCAGATGTGTTAGGACTACGGCTGAAACAAATCCTCCACCCCCCCCCCCCCTCCCCAAAATAATCCTCTAACACATAACCACCAGTCACATTAATGGTTCGTACAATAGGGACATCAAATCCCGTTGGGGTAATTTGCCCAATCTTAAGCCTGGTAATGACTTCAACGTCATTACTGGCAGTGGTAGTTTTGTTACCCCCAATAACTAATATCCCAACTACCCCCTTATGCCTCATATTTTACACTACCTCTAGTTATTAGAGATTACTCATATGGCATGCTGACTTCCATGATGCAAGGTTTACAAAGCCACACTATGACGTTTGCAGATAATGTTGTGAACATAGCGTCGCCCCTAAGTCCATATTTGGCATCAAGATATGCCATAAATATCCATTATCGAATGGCACAACCGCAAGAAGGGATTGGGTATGTCTGCCCAGGTATGCCGACCTTAACTATAAATTCTCTCAGTTTATGAGGCAATTGATAGATGAAAGTAACTACGAGATTGTAAACATGCTTACATAACATATATGTATTATGATCAATCCATTGATTCATAACACAAACCAGAGTATCCAGCACTTA